TTCAAAATGGTCATAAGTAGCACATGGGGGTCTGTAAACACTTACAACAATGAGGTGCTCGAGCTCGACACAAGCCATTTTCACACAGTTCGTTCAACAGAGAGGCTCACAATATCCTTACGTTCTTTATATAATAATGATTTATCTGCTAATATTAAGGAGCCACCACGTAAACTTTTTTCTCTATTGAAGGAACTGACCACCTGGTGATTTCTGAAATTAAACATGAAATTATAATCTTTTAGCCAATGTTCAGTAATACAAAGGATGTGTATATTGTTACTATTTAAAAACAATTCAACTTCCAATTCTTTGCCCAACATGCCTTGTATATTTTGATGCACCAGGTGTAAACAATTTTTATTACTTATTTGTGGGCTGTATTCAAAATTAATTAAACTCTTATTATTGCTAGAGATTGCCTCTATTGTCACATTCACTAATTTAAATTAGTTGGAACTGATTCCAAATTAAATGTCAAATGATTATGCTCAATAAAAGCAGTCTTGGTAGCCAAAAACTTGGCTGAGTTAAAAAGTAAATAATAAGATAGCACATTTGCTATCAGTCTTAAATTATATTTGGATAGGTAATACCTATCTTTTGTCCAAAACTTTTTTATTAAATTATTTATGTCAATTACATGAAATTTATGATTATTATCATTAGAATTATATGTCAAATTTAAATTATTATTACATATTAAATTATGCATTTGTATATTTAAATTATGTCTTAAATTATTTTCTTGTGGCAATCCCTGTATATAAGGCAGTGTGAACAAGACAATTTTGTGTACATTTAAGTTATTAAGTTGTTCAATATATCTTAATAACTGTTTGTTGTTGACACTGCCTCTTCTACCAACAAAAATTATTATTGTACTATTTGGGCAAAATTTAGTAACAATAATTTTATTTAGGATGTCACTAAAAGATGCTCCAGGCATGCAGCAATTTGTAACTTTTTGTCCCTTTAAAGAGTTATTTAAAGTTATGCCTAGATTTTTTCCCATGTCATCGCTATAAACAATTATATTATTTTTAGTAATATTTGAGTTATTTATTATTTTAATATCCTCTGCTATGGCACTGTCATAGAGTTTTTGTGGTGGTATAATATTATCAGCACACACTGACTTTGAAGAATCTGGCATTGAGCGCTGACACTCAAAAAATTTGAAGACGGGATCATCGCTCTACGAAGTCGCATAGCCGTCGTGAAGGGAGTCTCGGAAGACATGAAAGGGCCAGTTATATTGGATGGTGATCATTACATCACTCAACTGTATATCGACTGGACGCATCGTAGCCTGCATCATTGCGGAACCGAACCTACCATCAACGAAGTTCGACAGCACTACTGGGTAATCCGACTTAGACCCACCACGAAAAGGATAGCGAGCCAATGCGTACAGTGTCGCATCAGAAAAGCGCAATCATGCGTGCCAGCCACCGGTGATCATCCCAGCACACGTCTCGCTCATCACCAGAGACCGTTTACCTTCACCGGTCTGGACTATTTTGGGCCACTCTCCGTCACAGTGGGACGTCAACACCAGCAGAAATACGTGGCTCTCTTCACCTGCCTCACATCCAGAGCTGTCCACTTAGAAATTGTCGCAAATCTCAGCGCAGATTCCGCAATACTGGCCTTAAGAAGTTTTGCAGCGCGCCGAGGGTGTCCCACCGAGATTTATTCCGACAACGGCACCAACATGCACGGCGCAGATAAGGAACTTCGGGAGGCTTTTCAAGAAGAAGCCAGCCGACGAGGCATAGTGTGGCGTTTTATAACCCCCTCCGCGCCTTTCATGGGAGGGGCGTGGGAACGTCTCATACGATGCGTGAAGACGGCACTATACACCGTCCTTCATGAGAGACATCCACATGAAGAGGTTACTTAGCCACGATGCTCTGCGAGGTGGAGTACACAGTAAATAGCAGACCATTGACTTACATCTCTGTAGACAGCAATGACAACGAATCTATCACTCCGAATCACTTCCTTTTGGGAGGATCTGCGAGACTGCTGACAACTGGAGTATTTGATAAAAAAGATATACATAGCAAAAGGCACTGGCGACGCTCCCAGATACTCGCTGACATGTTCTGGCAGCGTTGGGTCCGAGAATATCTACCGGAACTTCAAAACCGGCGGGAGGCCCATGGTCGAGGCCCCAATCTCCAGGTGGGCAATCCAGTCCTCATTGCTGACGGCCAGTTACCTCGTAACACCTGGCCACGAAGAAGGGTTGAAGCAATTTTCCCCGGTGCGGACGGACAGATCCGCACTGTGGAGGTACGCACCGCAAACGGCCTAATCAAGAGGCCAACCAGGAAACTCGTGCCGCTGCCGAAGTAGAAGCAACGTCGCTCACCGGAATGGATTTAGCGCCGCTGTGATGAGATCGTCGCGACGCTGCACGGCGGGAGAGATGTTCGCGACGGCCTAACAACTTTAAGAAACAAAGTAATGAAAGAATATTGTTTTGTATAAAAAGTGAAATTACCAACGAAATCAAGTAAATAGTTTGTTAATATAGTTTTACAGTGTGTTTACAACTCTTAATATATTTGTATAGAATGTCGTTTTGATAATAGTTAATATAAACAACTTTAATTGTTTAAGAAAAAATCGACCAATCACAGCGCGTCGTATCGTAGAACTTTCTGGAAGTTTAATTAACTGCGCAATAGTTTGTACTAAATATAATAAGAATAATTTTGTGTTCTAAAAGAGTTGTAAATATGATATTTAGTTAGCATATGGTATATAGATTACGAAAGTGAAGAAATAATTTGTATAATTAAACGCATTTGATAATTATAGAAAAATTAAAGAATTAATGTACACATTTATTATGAAAATTTGGGACATTTCGTTTAATAACTTTTTAAATATTAATGTATTGAATAACCTTTATCATATACTGATAAAGGACAAAAATGCCGATTTAATGATGTATAGCATGTTAGTGTAAAAATTATTCTTGTATAGAAAATATTGCAATTTATGCGAATTGCATAGTGAAAATTTTATAAAATAAAGAGGCAAAACGGAAAATGGCAAGCGGCTCACTATAAAGTATAGCCGAAGTCTACCTTATGGACGCGAGACGCAGTAACGTGGTAGTGTGAAGAACTACCAGTGGCATCCAGCAGTAGTGTGAAAAGCTACCAGTGACAAGCTGTAGTATCCGGTAGTAGATGAAGTGACTAGTAGCAGAACATAGTGAACAGTGATAGTGAATTAGTGAAAGTGTTAGCTAGCCGAAAAAGGTCGTAATTGAAATTCGCAGTCACACATAGCCGAAAAAAGTGGCAACTGAAAAATCGTAGTTGCATATAGTGAAAGTGTTAGCTAGCCGAAAAAAGTGGCAACTGAAAATTCGCAGTTACATATAGTGAAAAAGTGTTAGCTAGCCGAAAAAAGTGGTAACTGAAAATTCGCAGTTACATATAGTGAAAAAGTGTTAGCTAGCCGAAAAAAATGGTAACTGAAAATTCGCAGTTACATATAGTGAAAAAGTGTTAGCTAGCCGAAAAAAATGGTAACTGAAAATTCGCAGTTGCATATAGTGAAAAAGTGTTAGCTAGCCGAAAAAAGTGGTAACTGAAAATTCGCAGTTACATATAGTGAAAAAGTGTTAGCTAGCCGAAAAAAATGGTAACTGAAAATTCGCAGTTACATATAGTGAAAAAGTGTTAGCTAGCCGAAAAAAGTGGTAACTGAAAATTCGCAGTTACATGTAGTGAAAAAGTGTTAGCTAGCCGAAAAAAGTGGTAACTGAAAATTCGCAGTTACATATAGTGAAAGTGATAGATAATCGCAGAAAGTGGTAACTGATATTCGCAGTTACACAAATGATAAAATCAACTAGTTTTAGTTGATTAATAGCTGCTAGTCAGTAGTGTTAGAAAACCAGCTACTACCAATAGATATTTTAATACTACCGCACATTTTAATTAAATCTTTTGAAATATATAGTGACAAACCAATAGTGAACAACCGTAGTTGAACAACCGTGTTCAACAACCGTGGTCAGTAAATAATAGTTATAAAATTTCACGACTAATCAATCAGTCGACCCGCTGGCCACGCCCTTGCTATTTGTATTTATAAATCGTGCATTTTAATTTTGAACCTCAGTCCACAGTTTTCCAGCAGCACACACAGAGACGGCAGTGGAAATATCCTCCGGAACCTATAGGTGTAGGACGTTAGCGACTCGCGGAGTATCTTCGACAACATTTACTACGGAGAGTTACGCCCGTCCGGCACATATCGCATATTTGGTCGATTAACTCCCATCTAGGACGTTCTTTGCTGGCTCTGCCAATAACTTCTGCAACATTGCTTTGTTACTCTTTCCTCATTCATTCTTTCTACGTGATCAAACCACCGAAGCATTATTTTCTTAATCCTGGTCACAATATCATTTTGTAAACCACACATTTCTCTTACAACACAACTTCTCATCCTGTCATACAGTTTCACACCTAATAAACTTCTCGCGCTTCTTCTACCACACCCAACTTTCACTGCCATATTGCCATACATTGAGGAAGGGACTAACTGGAGACTAAAAGAAACCTACACAGCATCGTGAATCGGAAGTTTTACTGTCATAAATAAATAGTGCTAACCGAAAATGTAATAATAATGTAAACCCGACAGACTAGACTGTATGGTCTAAGATCTTTGCGTGCCTTAAATGGGAATTCTAATAACAACAACAAAACTAACCTATTCCGCACGTGTTTATAGAAACCATAGATATAGTATTAAACTCCATAGATTGGGCTTATGAGTAAAAGAGAGCTATCGCGCCATACGGTACTTTCGTGTGTTAGAAAGAGAAAGAGAATGAACCTGTCAGCGAGACTAAACACATATTTGCTACCGGTACACGGCCTAGTCGTTAGTGAGCGAATACATTTCGGCAATTTCTTATGTAAATTATAGTGACAACTAGTAACTTTATTGTGTATAATACGATGGTTTCTTGTTCCGTACCAGGATGTGATTCTTCCAAAAGGAATAATCCCCAGCATTATTCATTTCACCAGTAAGTTTACAACTTGATATCTATCGTTATTTCTTAATAATAGTACACAAATGTACCGGCTTCTGAGAAATTTCAATGAAAAATCAATTTTATGTACTACTGAGATGAATTAAAACTTAAAAAACAGCCGTATTTAGAAAATAACAAATAGGGAAATATGAGAGTATTTGTAACCTCACTTTTTAGTGATAAGATAGCTCGGTTTGTTCTTGATGTCGACTTCATTCAAACGAAGTGAAGGATAGTAAGTTATATTACTATACAAGGAATAATTAAGTTCATTGATAATAACAGTTTAAATAAAGATATTATTTAAGTTAATTTTATTGAAAATTAGTCTTCAGAAATAATTTGTCACTAGCACTCCTGATTAAGAAAACTGATAATGAATAACACAGAAACTATGTTTTTATAATGACAGGGATAACTATTGTACTCACAACTGACAAAAGCCTACATGGTTATACTAATGTGTGTATTGTCCATTAGTTGAAACCGAATAACATATTATTTGCAGGTTCCCTATAAATCCGGAGAGCAGAGAAAAGTGGTTGCGGATGTTAAACAGACCACATTGGACTCCGCATAAATATACTACGATATGCAGCAAGCACTTTCATCCACACTGCTTTTCAGTTACTATTGGTCAAAAAAGAAGAAAGTTGCGAAGTGGTTCTGTTCCTACTATAAGTATGCCGGTAAGAAAAAGCCAATTTTTTAACCGTTAAGATTACCTATTTGTTACACTTGACAAACTTAACAATAATGACAGTGTGTTATGTTGAGTTTTCAATTTTTTATGAAAACTAATTTTTGATGTTAAGCTATTGTATCTATGAAAAATTATGAATTAAATAATAAAAGCTGTAACATATTCTGATGAAAATAGGCGCTTTAAAATATACATAAGTTTTGTATTACATTCTTATGTATATTCTTATTAGAAAATGATATTCTTATTATTTTACTGCATACATTATGATAAGAGACAAAATAATTTTATAAAAGATCAATTATTTTCTTAATATTTGCATAACAATAATATGTACTGTTATGTTGCTTTTGCAACACATAACTTATATGAAATTAGCCCATACATATCATTTATTTAAATTTCAGGTAGAAATTCCTCTTCCACGTAAATCAACTGTGTATCGCTACCGAGATATTGAATCTTTACCTAGGTTATCTGAAAATAGTATTTCAATCAGTGGTATTGAAGTGACCCCAAGGAAGAGGAAAATGTTAAAGACAATATCACAATTGAAGAGAAGAATTATTGACAAAGAAAAAAAACTAAAAAATCTACGTGCTCAAAAGAAACGTAAGGAATCTAAAATAATTCAACTTAGTCAAGTTGTCAGAGATTTACAGGCCCGTCCATCATTGAGAAATGATTTGACTGCAGTTATAGAATCTTGTCCAAATGAGCTTTTGTCACACTTGGTAGAAAGGGTCAATAGCAATAAAAAAATGTTATTAATAGTAGGACAAAATATGGGCTAGAATTAAGAAAATTTGCCATCACTCTGCACTTTTATAGTCCACAGGCTTACAATTTTATAAGAAAAAAGTTTTCTCTTTGCTTACCACATCCAAGAACCCTTAGAGGTTGGTACCAAAATATAAATTGTGAACCTGGTATTACTCAGGAAGCCATTAATGCAATTAAACAATTTAGGGCAGAAAAACCGGATTTGATTATTTCTTTAATAATGGATGAGATGGGAATAAGAGAATTTACGGAATGGGATGGCCATAGGCATTATGGGTTTGTGGATGTAGGCAATAATTTAAGTGGTGACAAGATAGAATTAGCCAAGGAAGTTTTAGTATTTATGGCAGTAGCTGTAAATTCATATTGGAAATTACCAATTGCCTTTTTTTTTGGGAGAGGTTTTACAGCTGTACAAAAGGCTTCACTTCTCAAATTATGCTTAGATGCACTGACAGTAACAGAAGCAAAAGTCATGTCAGTGACATTTGATGGGATTGCTTCTAATATTAATATGGTTCGAATTTTAGGGGCAAATTTGGACCATGAACCTTACAAACCATTCTTTATATATAAAAGTGCAAAAATTTATACAATTTTCGATGCACGTCACTTATTAAAATTAATAAGAAGTGCCTTTGCTGATTTTAAGACTTTCTATCGTAATGACGACATCATATCTTACTATTACATTACTAGTTTAAACTAATTACAAGAAAAAATTCAATTAAATTTAGCTAATAAGTTAACATATAGACATGTTAACTATTTCAAAAATAAAATGAAAGTTAAGCTTGCAGCCCAGTTACTCAGTAATTCTGTTGCTACAAGCATTGAATATTGTGAAAAAAACACAAATATTCCTGAATTCAAAGGGGCAAATGCTACAGTAAATTTTATCAGAATTGTCAACAACACTTTTGATATTTTTAACTCAAGAAATTTATTGAGTCCAGGTTTCAAAAAACCTATCAATTCAAATAATGTCAATATGATTTTTAAAGAACTAGACAGGTTTACAGAGTTCATGCAGAGTTTAACTTTGGAAAATTACCAAAAAGTTATTACTTCAAACAGAAAATTAGGTTTCCTAGGTTTTATTTTTAATATTCAATCTTTAAAAATGTTGTATAATGATTACATAAATTCAGATTTGCTTAAGTTTCTCCCATTGTACAAATTATCACAAGATCATTTAGAAACATTTTTCAGTTGCATAAGAGCTCGAGGGGGTTTTAATAATAACCCATCTGCACGAAGTTTTATATCTGCATATAAACGGTTGTTGTGTCATGCAGAAATACAAATAAGCGATAATACAAATTGTCTGCCAATTCAAAATGTAACCATATTAGCTTTAAGTAATTTGAGCACTATGCAGCGGTTAAATTTAGCCATTGGAAAAACCGAAGATCATGTCGATGAAGAGATCGCAGAATTTTCGGTTTCTAGTATTCATGAGGAAGACGACTTTTTAGTTTCTTTGCCATACACACAAGGAAAAGAAGTTATTAAAATTGTTGTACAGTATATAAGTGGATATATTGTAAAAGCTTTGCAAAAAAAACTTAAGTGTGCAGATTGCATTGCAGTCCTGCATTCTCAGGAAAGTGATATAAAATCATTAATATTTCATAAAGATAAAGGAGGCTTAATTTATCCGTCAAAAGATGTGATCGACGTATGTTTGTTTTGTGAAACAATTTATAGAGAAAATATAAGATTTAAAAATCTCAATAAAAACCAATTACGTCTGATTATCACGAGGACAATTTATAATTTTTTAAACAAATTTTCAACTTTAAATGATCACTGTTTCCCATCTCTAAATGATCATATTTATGATCAAGATCCAATAAACAATCATAAGTATTTATTAGTAAAATTGATTATTGAAAAGTTTTTTATCATAAGAATAAAGTATGAACACAAATTGCGAAATGTTAACAAAGATAGTATTCGACAATTTTATAATAAAATGATTATTTTTAAGGGTACCTAATAAACATTTTTTGCGAGTCTTCATTTTATTTCAACTTTTTCCCTATAGATGTTACCATAAATGTATTTTATACGGCAAAAATATTATTATACATAAAGTCATCATCCGTATGCGAATGCATCAAATCGGTTCAATAAAAAAAAAATATCGGCTGGTGGTGGAACCTCTCCCTGCCAACAGTTGTTTCGGCGATGCTGAGAGGGGATTCGCGTGGAGGTGGTAGATCTATAAATTTACAATTAGTACTAATAGTAATTTATAGTTGATAGACATCTATCATTAATTCTTTTATTACGTGTAGAGCCACGCTGCAGGTATGTTATGGTTGCATAGCATGAATAGGTCGACTCGACCGGGGTACGACAACGCTCTCACAGAATACCAGCGTAAAATAGCAGCTTAATGCTGTTGTGTTTTGTATGGTGAGAAGAGAACCGGAGACCATTTTTACTGAAAATGAGGCATTCGATCTTAAACCTCAACCCATTCGTTGCGGTGTACGCACAACGGCGTAATTTAAATTGTCGTAATTAAAATAATATAAAAATGAATCGCTGAATATGTTGCTAAGCGCAAATCTCGAGAGCAGCTAAACCGATTTCGCTAATTCTTTTTTTATAATATTCCTTGAAGTACGAAGATGGTTCTTACGGAGAGAAAATTAAAAAAAATGTCTGAAAAAGTCTAAAAACAACACTTTTCTATATTCCCATACAAAAGATTCGTAATAATACTTAAAAGTCAAAAATACCATAAAGCTTTCTTTTTTCATTTTTTATCTTACTAGCTGACCCGGTGTAATTAAAAAAAGTAATAAAATGAAATAAGTATTAAAAAAATAAAAAATTAAAGAATCGACTGTTAGGCGGTACGAAGTTCACCGGGTCAGCTAGTACTGAATAGAATAGAAACAAATTCATTCACTATTTCCAGCCATATTTATGGTAAATAGGAAATCGCTAGTATTTTTAATAAAACTTCACTGTTTTAATCAAAAAATAACTTATTATATGCAAATGTAACTTGGCTACTGAGTATGCAGTCACTTGACATGGCGTAGACTGTTAAGCGTCAATAAAATTCTGTGTAAACAAGCAAGAATCATTGTCATGTGCGGAAAACGCCGATCGGTGTCAAAGTCTTTAAATATCAGATGCTTCCGACGCCTATCGGAGTTAGTTCTTTAAACCGCCCGCCTTAAACTTACCTTCAGGAAGACTGTGCTCGTTTCTCAACATTGTTTTATAAGAAAAACAGTCGCATGTCGATACAAACACCGTAAGGCCTTGTCAGTGTTTAGGCTACTGTACTTCGTACTTTCAAATGTTATCACTGTATTAGTCGTCAGTATTTTTTTTTATTTTCCTACAAATATTATGAATATTTGTAATTATATTTTCTGTCCTAACATTTCCTTTATAAGCTCTGCATTACTTGCACTAAATTGTGCTTACAATGCTAGAATCAAGTCAGAAATTTCACCCAAAAGTTACTTGTTATACTAAAGTAGCATATTGGCAGAGCATCTGGTAGTGTGAGCTTAAATATTGCGCGTTAATATTCTGCCTCAAACGAAAATATTCACTTCGTGTATTCTTTATGTATTCATCCCATTCCAACCTGCAGGTGTTTTAAAGTACGAGGAGTAAAGGGCTGGGCTAAGATACAATATTACTACAAAAGTCAGAAAAGTCAAACGAAATCCTACCCTACGCCCCGCCCCATCTTATGGTAAGATAGGCGTACCAGAAGTGGAACATGAATGGGCCGTGATGATATTCAACAAAAAAAGCTACTCGATTTAATACATTCTCTAGAAATCTTGTACGTTTATAACGTGAAAACTTAAGCATCAAATAGTAAAGGATATATATGACATAAGTACAGTATATTTCATATTGTCACATTTTATTTAAAAAGGTTATTTTGATCGATATCGATAAATCATTACGGTACAACAATATTAATGCATACATTGACAATCTACACACACAAAGACAATCAGTTTTTGGTCTCGCTTTCCAGCACTGTTGCCATATATACAGATTTCTCTGTATTTATACAGATTTTCCGAGTGTAATACAGATAATCACAGGATACAGATTTTTATACAGAGTTTTCTGACTCTGTTGATTAAATTACCATAATATTCAATTTAAAACAGAACGAAGCAAAATATACTTATGACTAGACACCGCGTTACACATATCATTGCATGATTCTATTGTTTATGGTTAATTATTTTTTTCATAAAAAAATAAATTAACCATAAAGAATAGAATCAAACAAAGACAACATTACAAGTGTCACTCGCTCTGCTTGGGAAATCCCCCAAAATTTTTTCGTGCTGTCCAAGGTACTTCGCTCTCGCATTCGTCGTGTCGAATGTGCATAGGTAATATGTAAATATATAAAAACATAGATACAAACTTTTATTAAATATTAATATTGATTGTGTTTTTGTGAACCATTATGGCATCTAAAAAACCCAGAGTGATGCAAAAGTTTAATCGTAATTGGATGGAAGATTCTTCCTATAAAGCGTGGTTGAGACCTAGTAATAAAGGTGATTATTTTGCTTTTTGTACATTTTGTAACACAGATCTGTCAATTGGAAGTGCTGGGAAGAATGATCTTTTCAGACACACAAAAACAAACAAACACGTAAATTCAAGTCCTGGTGGATCTAGCTCCCAAACATTATTAACAGATTTAATTTCAAACAAGAATCTTGAACCAGTCAAAAGAGGAGAAATTTTGCTAGCAGCGTTTATAGCCGAACATAATATTCCCATGAACATTATGGAACACTTGCCACAATTAATAAAAAACATGTGTCCCGATTCACAAATCGCAAAAAGTATTAGTTGTGACAGAACAAAAACTACAGCTATTGTAAAAAATGTGACTGGCATAACTGCAAAACAGATGACAATAGAAAAGTTACAAAAACTTAAATTTTCTTTAATCGTCGACGAAAGCACAGATAGGGGATGTGTTAAGCATTTATGCATAGTAGCACGGTTTTTTGAAAGAAAAGTTGAGGATGCATTTGTTTGTCTCATACCCCTTGAAGAGGCTAATGCTGAAAAGCTACACAAACATATTAAAAATTTTTTGAGTGACAATAACATCCCAATGGAAAATCTTATCGGATTTGCCGCTGATGGTGCGAATACCATGATGGGACAGCACAATTCATTATCATCCCGTCTAGTTGCCGAAAACCCTCACCTGTTTGTATTGAAGTGTGTATGTCACTCTTTCCATCTCTGTGCATCGTATGCCTGCTTAAAATTGTCAAGAGAGCCTGAAACTCTCATACGAGACATTTATAATTATTTTAATAACAGCCCCAAAAGGATTGGTATTCTAAAAGAGTTTCAGCAGTTCTTAGATCTAAAGCCTCATAAAATCCTGCATCCAGCTCAAACTCGATGGCTTTCGCTTAGAGCAGCAGTTTGCCGTATTCTAGAACAGTATGGCGCTCTAAAATTATATTTCACCGAAACCGCTCTTACGGATCACTTGAATGCTGATTCGATCTTGTTCAGATTAAAAAATCCATATAATAAACTTTATTTAGAGTTTTTGGAATTTTCGTTAGAGATATTTAATAACATGAATAAGCTGATGCAGTCAGAGCGGCCGCAAATTCATAAAATGCATGAAAACATGGTGACTGTTTTTAAAACTTTACTGGAATGTTACATGGACGACGGATACGTTTCGCGAACTGAAGTCAGTTTAATTCAAATTGACAATCCACGTCATTACAAACCAATAGATGACCTTTACCTAGGAGCAAAGGTTTCAGCCTCTCTTGTCTCTACCACTCTACATCAAGAAGATATTAAAGCATTCAAGCTCAAATGCCTTGACTTTTTTATTGAAGGGGCAAAGCAGGTAAAAAAAAGGTACAATTTCAGCAATGATGTGTTTAAACAAATGCAGTTTCTTGACCCACAAGCTGTCAAGTCTCGTAGAATTGATTCATTGGTCACTTTGGCAGTAAAGTTTCCAAATTTGATCTCACGTGATGAATTGCAACAACTAGACACAGAGTGGCGATTTTTGCGCAATAATAAAGATTTAGCGCCTGACGATTCACAAGATCTTGAAAGCTACTGGTATAAGGTCACTGCAGCTCGTGATCCTGCTAACTATAGCAATCAATTATATCCTACGCTGTCGAAATTTGTTTTTGCAATCTTAAGTCTACCTCATTCCAGTGCCGCCGTAGAGAGGATCTTCTCATCTATAAATTTAATAAAGACAAAACAACGCAATAGGCTTAATACAGATACTATTGAAGGTCTTTTACATACAAAGCAACTGATTGGTGGTGCAAAACCTTGCTATAGCCTAGAGGTTGATAATAAATTACTGTCGAAATTTAACAAAAATATGTACTCGTAGGACTGAAAATAATAAAGTAATTATTAGTTCGTTTGTTGTAACTGTTTGAGTTTTAATATTATGTTGTTTGTTTAAATTAAAGTTTTCAATTTTGTTGTATAAACATTTTAGTGTGTATTTTTATTTAACAACAACGATCAAACTTTATCACGTTAGTACTTATCCCTTGTTTTTCAAAAGAAGAAATGATCATGATGATCAATAATTCTGTTTTGGTTTATTTGATTATACAGATTTTATACAGATTTTAAGTTAAAATAGCATACAGATTTAATACAGATTTTAGCAGTTTCTAATACAGATAAAAGGTGCAAGACATCTGGCAACACTGCTTTCCAGTTGTAATTGCCAATCTATGGAGTATATACTATATCTATGATAGAAACTAATCGAAACCAAATTGTAAATGAAGTGTGAACTGTGAAGAATATATTTGTTTTTTTAATACCGATAACTGAAAATTATAGATATACATAATGACAGAAGTCTTGCAACCCGGCACTGAGGTGTTTTCTGAGAAAAAAAAGAAGAAAAACAAGGAGCAAGTGACACTGGGTGCTTTCCAGAAAATTGGCGATTTTAAGATCGAGCCATCAGAAGCTCCCACAAAGTTAGATACAGCGTATTGGCCATTGCTGCTGAAAAACTTTGATCGACTCAATATACGCACTAACCATTACACACCGTTGCCGTTTGGTCACTCTCCGTTAAAACGTTTTATTTCGGACTACGTAAAATCTGGATTCATTAATGTTGATAAACCGAGCAACCCCAGCTCTCACGAAGTCGTCTCCTGGATCAAACGTATTCTCAAAGTGGATAAGACTGGCCACAGCGGTACACTCGATCCTAAGGTAACTGGTTGCTTAATAGTGTGCATAGATAGAGCAACGAGATTAGTGAAATCCCAACAGAACGCCGGTAAGGAGTATGTAGCCGTTTTCAGTGTGCATTCTGCAGTGGAAAATGTTCAAAAAGTGACGCAGGGACTCGAAAAGCTTCGTGGCGCACTTTTCCAACGACCACCACTCATATCGGCTGTGAAGCGACAACTACGCGTGCGTTCCGTCTACGACAGCAAGTTATTAGACTTTGATCAAGAGAGAAACATTGGTGTGTTTTGGGTGAGCTGTGAAGCTGGCTCTTACATTCGTACAATGTGTGTACATTTGGGCCTAATGCTGGGAGTTGGTGGACAGATGATTGAGCTCCGTCGTGTCCGTTCTGGTATACAGGGTGAGAAAGAAGGCTTGGTGACTATGCACGACATTTTAGATGCTCAGTGGGCTTTTGAGAATCGCAAAGATGAATCATACTTACGACAAGTTATCAAACCGCTGGAAGGTTTGCTTATTGCTTATAAAAGAATATTTATCAAGGATAGTGCTATTAATGCAGTGTGTTATGGTGCAAAAGTACTCCTGCCTGGTGTCTTAAGGTATGAGGATGGAATTGAAATTGATCAAGAAATAGTTATTGTAACAACAAAAGGTGAGGCAGTTGCTCTAGCTGTGGCCCTCATGACTACCGCTACAATGGCATCTTGTGACCATGGAGTGGTTGCTAAATTAAAACGAGTTATTATGGAGAGAGACACGTATCCCAGAAAATGGGGCTTAGGGCCCAAGGCCTCACAAAAGAAGCAGCTCATACAACAAGGTAAATTAGACAAATATGGCAAGCCCAATGAGAATACACCAGCGGAATGGCTGGACAGTTTTGTGGACTACAAAGTTAAACAAGAACCCGTTAATGATGAAAATGGAGAAATGGAGACAGAGAGCAGTAGAAAACGAACAGCCAGCACAGCAAATGCAGATGACCCGAATAATTCAACAGAATTGAAAGCAGAAAAGAAAAAGAAAAAAAAGAAGCATAACAAAGATCAGGATGCCGACACAACGGTAGAGGCAGCCGATGTAACTACAGAAGATGTGGATAATTCAGTTCGTAAGGAGAAAAACAAAAAGAAAAAGAAGGACAAGGATAATGAGAGGCAAGAAGAGTGAATATAAGTTAATAATTATTGCAGACTGTTTATTCTTTAGAAAAGTTTAAATTTCTATGCCTCTAAATTTAAGGCACATTAAGAAGGTAATCAATTAGCATTTGAATGAACATTACATTTGTCATATTACATTGCTTTTTTATACTTAATGATAATTTCATTTTATATTAATAGATGGCAATTTTTGCATAGATATCGCAATAGTTAAGCACACTGAGTGAGCAATTGAAAGTGCTGAATCAAAAAGGTTATTTTGAAATAGACACCATCCATCTTTGTATGAAGATTGGAAATTTTTTATGTAATTTGTGTAGTCTTATTAAATAGAGATCTTAGTAAATTGTGTTTACACATTTTGCTAAGATGTATAATATATAAGTTTGATTATGAATTGCAATGAACTTCATTATACCAGTAAACAGGTCTATATGAAAGTAATACAAGGGAGAACATAACATATTTCAGTAGATTGTTTTGGTGAAGTTTTTTCTTAATTGTATTTCTTTTTAGTTATCTTGAATTTGAGTAGCTATATGTTACGGGTTCCAGCATTTTTTGACTGTTATTTTTTATTAAACTACAGTCTTAGACCAACAGGCAAATATAGCCAGAATTCTACATACATTTCAAGTGATGCCGGAACCATTCCTAAGTCTTTGACACACACATTGTTTTTTATTGGCTAGTGAGACTCCACTCCTGGACACATATGCAGTTAAAACCATGTTAGTTGTAAAATAATTTCAGATGCATATGTGCATATTCTTACAATAAATTGAAAATGGTTTGTGTGTTAAATGAAATGTATTTAGTGTTGTGTATATCTTTGTTTATCTGAGACTATATCATAAATCATTCTCATTAATTAGACATAAAAAGAATCCTTTGCAGATAGTGTATAAATAATTAGTTGTAAGTTAGTTTTAAGGAAATGTTTTTAAACTATAACTTCATTTGAGTGTTATGATATGATGTTCATCAACATTAAAACTTAATTTTAAATGGATATTCTTTTATTTCTTACACAAAAACTCCACATAAGACGTCACAGATTTATTATGGTCATAATTTATTGGTACCCAACATATTTTGTGAAATTGTCTCCCAAACGCTAAATGAAATATAGTAATCTTAGACGTATTATTAACTCATTTGCCACCGGTAAGAAATAAGTTATCAGTTTACCTGGACGTTAATCGGGGATGAATTTTAGATATCACCCAAGAAAATTACAGAATGAAAACATGTAGCTTCTAAATATAACAAGGTAATTTCAGTAAATAGTTTATGTTTTAAACTTTGTGTGAAACTAAAATATAAGAAAAGGTAACATTTATTATACACTAGCTGTACACGCCCTGAGCTGCCCCAACAAAGGTAGACTGGACTAGGGCCCATCAGTAGTCCAATCGACGAGCAGCAGAGGAGGGGGCCCAAAAGGCCTATGGACAATTGACCTACACAATAGAGATAAGGCTAGATAAATAAATAGTACGTTCCTGGTTCCGAAGCTAAGACCGCCCCAAGGCTCGGTCAGGCCGTAGATAGGTGTAGGTGCATGTAAATGGTGTGTAGTAGTGTTAATATATGTGACCTGGCCTGAGGTGATCGGGCAGCGGCCTGGTCCCATGCTGCCCCACAATGCTGCATCACTCCAGCAGGCGTCACCAATAGACAACTTCTTTCTTCATTTCACTATTTCAGTCTATCAACTTTATTGTACATTTAACTAACTTCAAACTCAACTAATTCAACGTTCATCGTAAAATCAAACAAGTGACACCTGACACAAGTAACGAACAGTAGTTCAAAGTTTAATATTCAATGTTCCGGATTCATTTATCACCAAATTACAAATAGGGAACTAACGCGATCTCTTCACGAGTCACAAAGTTCAGCATTACAAACAACAAACTAAATTCCTTCGTACGATGTTAAATACTACGCCGCAATAAGAATTCAAAATCCGCCTAGCTGACACGCAAACTAACTACAGAGTCAACACACAAAAGGCTCTTGTCACGAACGTACAACTCAGACAAACTTACTCGAGTCGGTCTCCACGAAACCCCAAATTTAATAGCGAATTAAACGCGCACAAATACTTAAAATCTAGACTACAAAACCAAAACTGGTCGCGTGAAACCGCTGCAGCGGTCACCACAAAATACGTTAATCGACCGCGCCGCTGCTCTCAAGCTACTGACTTCGCACTCGCGAGGTCGAACGCCGGGAAGTCGCATACCGCTGCCCCCCCCCCTGGGGGGGCCCAGCGTCGCACACGTCACCTCACACCATCGGGCGATGCGCCCAGTCAACGCGATTGGATGGCGTTTCAAAATGCCCATGTTTGGGCCTAAACACTAGTTGTACGCCACTTCGCATGGTCTTTTGTAAAGTAATTTTGTTATTATTATTTGTATATCATGAAGTTTATATATTGTCATGGTCACTAAAACTATTAATTTATTTAGTGATCTGAGATAGGAAACCCTTAATTGTCAAAACGAAACAAATCACGATATTATAAATTATTTTTTTCAAAGCGTTTCGATGTTGAGCGTAAGTTGAACCACACAGTACACTACCCTGGCAACGTTTACACTTCTCTCAGAGGGCTACCGGCACAGAAATCTAAATAATAGTACTTTATTATTTACATTGCTGTGGTTACAGCGCGCCAATGGCAATGGTATTGGCGGTCTTCACGTCCTCAAAATATTTTACATGCATGTTTCGAATTTTTTATTTGTTCCTCTACCGGTGCGGGCCTGGATAAATATCCCACTCCGCCCCGTGAGTTCTTAGCCCCAACCAAAGGGCAAGGACGGGTTATGTCGGACTCGCACCAATTAAAACCCAATGGTGTTTCACCTTCGCCGCATATTATCAGGGCCACGGGAACGCTTTCGCACACATCCGCGGCCCAACCAGCGCTAGCCGCACTTTGGCAGCCCTTCCTCGGGGGAGGACTTTTCCTCCCCATTCTCCT